CCCACAGGCAGTCGTCGGCCCGGGCGCATGCCTCATGCAGTTGCACCACCGCCTCCTGGCTGACGGCGGCGGCGGCGATGGGGCAGGAGAGGAGGGTCTTGAGATCCTGCCAAAAGGCGATGAAGGGCGCCGCCACCACCAAGCTGCCGAAGCGCAGGTGGGAGAGGAGATCGAAGGCACGCGCAGCCAGGCTCCAGGCGGCCTGGCGGTTGCCGGCGGCTGCCAGCTGCTGGGCGCGGGCGATAGCGCGTGCTGCAGGGAGGGAGGGGGAGGGGAGGGGAGCGGGCACGGCAGGATGAGCATGGGGTGTGCCTGGGGGCCCAATGGGGCGGGTGGGCTTGGGATCTCTTCAGGTGAGCCGCACCCCGGGGCTGCCACCATTGCTCACCTAGCGCCACCTCCACTCCATTGTGCATCAGGATGACGGCGCTGGAGCCGCCAGGGGCGATGGAGGAGAGCAGGGGGCCGTGCATGTCCAGCAGGTTGGCCATGATGGAGGTGGCGGTGGCGGGGTGGGCGCTGTGGATATGCGTGGCAGCGGCGAAGATGTCGCGGGTGAACATCGGGAAGTGGCGGATGATCGTCTGCAGCAGGGAGCGGGCGCACAGGCGGGGTGAGTGGCAGGCACGGCTGGCGGTCGATGCATCAGTGACGGTGCTGCGGAGCGTGCCGGCAGCGGCAGCGAGGCGCGCAGCCCACCTGCTCCACCTCGCCATCGGTCATACCGATCAGCCAGGGCGCCACGTCGGCATTCACATCCTTGAACTGTGCCGGTGCCCACATCTGGTCGCCGCAGCCGTGGGCGTAGATGGTCGGGGAGGTCATGCGCAGCAGCGGCTGCTGGGACCGGCCCGTGGCGGGCAGCGCGATGGGGTTGGCGATGAGCGCCCGTTCCAGGCGCTCACTGGCCTTGGTGGCCGGCACGATGTTGTTTGAAGAGGACGGGCGAGCGGAGGTGGCGGGCGCCTGCAGGCAGGCGGGGCAGGCAGGCGAGGCTGGTGGACAGGTGCGCGGAGGCGTCGACGAGTGGCGGCAGGCGGGCGACTGGCAAGCGGCGGCGGCGGCGGTGGGGCGGCGGCCTGCCCAGGGCTCTGCAGCTGCGTGGCGGCACACACCTGGATGTCCGCGGGGGTTGACAGGGAGGCTTCGAAAGGCTTTGAAAGGGAAGCGGCCATGTGAGGCCGCACAGATGTCCGGGCCAGCGGCCGCAGGGATGCACGCACAGCGTTAGCATTGCCTACGGGACAGCGTGAGGATTGGCAGAGGTCAGCTGGCGCTGCCATGGGGGCCCAACCACCACCGTTGCCATCGAGCCCTGCCATTCGCCCGCACTGCAGCCGGCAGCACGCTGCAGCGCCCACAAATGCCCCAACGACCTGTTGCCGCGCTGGAGAAGGGGTAGCTGAGGCGCATGGCGTTCACGGTGAAAGTCATCTTGGTGTTGGTGGTTCAGCTTTGGGGAGGATGGTGGGCGTTGCAGGGAAGCCTGGAACTGTGGCAAGGCGACAGGAGGCCGAGCTGGGGCGGAATGGGGGCTCTGGCGGGGGCGCCGCAGGTTGACCTTCGATGCCCTCCCTGCTTTCCTCCCATGGCCAGGGACTACTAGGCGCAGGCGCCGACAAATTGCGCACCTTCGCACTTTGAGTGGGAATGCATGCCCGCAGCAGGCTGGCGGGTGTTGCCTGGGTCTCATCATCTCGTGCACAGGAGCTGGTACATACAGGCCCAGCCCCGCGCCAGCGTGTGGGACCAGGCGGCATCGCCAGCGTGGCGACCACACACCACGGCACCCAGACCACAGCACACCTGCCATGTTTTGCACAGGCGGGCACCCGTCACCCGCTGCCAATAGCGTGGGCATGCTAGCTCACACCAGCTGCCTCAAACGACGCTCGAGTGGTTACAAACTCCAGCCAAGGGCGATGAAATGCGAGCATGCCGCAAGAAGAGCAGAGAAGCCCGAGGCACCAGCCAGCGCAGGCAAGCCACAGCAATGGTGGAGCAGCAGAGGGAGACGCGGAGGAAGCTCGGCTGGCGGCTCAGCACAGCAGCAGCCTCCCGACTCGCCCTCTTCAGTCAACGTCCGAGTCTTCGTCCTGGCCTTGCCGCCCTGCTGCTGCTCCGGTGCCGCCCTCCTGCCGCTGGACCAGCAGCCGGCTCACCAAGTCACGCACTTGCTGCTCCTGGTGCTCCGCATCGCCGCACACCTCGCCATGCCGGTTGAGGCTGATGGCCACCTGCAGCAGCGCAGCAGCAGGGAGCGGCAGCAGCCAGACTCTGGGGGGGCAGGGAATGGGAGGAGGAGGGAGCATGCGGGGCGGGCAGGGCAGAGGCGACGCCACAGGTTTGGCGGATTGTGCCGCAGCGGAAGGCAGGTGCTCCTAGCCAGGCCACCCCCGNCCGGCGCCAGCCCAGCCCAGCCCTCCTGCTCACCAGCTCTGGGCTGGTGCTCCTGCCCCCAAACTGGCGCAGGCCCACCATGGTCTGCAGGCACTTCCTGTCCCTGTACAGCAGCACCGTGGGTAGGTTGGCGTCGGGGTAGGCAGGGATGCACTCTGCAGGCGAGCAAGGGCAGCGCAGGAGGGGGAAGGACGGCACACTTGTCAAGGTGCCCAGTGGAGAACGCACTGCCTGAGCAGCGCGGGGTGGCGGGGTGCTGCAGCAGCAGGGGCAGCAGCAGGTGGGCGGGGCGCATGGGTCACATGCAGAACCGGGTTGGGCGGGCGGGCGGGCAGGCGGGCGGGCAGCAGGCAGGCCGGTGCGCCCATGCCTGTGCTGACAATCTTCACAAACTTGGTGTTGGGGTACTGCTTGGCCACCTCCGCCAGGCACTGGTTCAGGATGGCACAGTCTTGCACGCTGCAGGGAGGGGGGGCAGGGATAGGCAGAGAGGGAGGGGAGGTAGCTGGAAGGCGGAGCTTGTCGAATCGGGGATGACGACGAGCGGTGGGCACCCGAGCACCGGCTGCTGCCATGGCCCCGGCTATGCTTGCATCACCCCACTGGGATGGACACAAGCGCACCGGTCCTTGTACAGGTGGCACACCACCCAAACGCCCTCGGGCGCGTTGGTGACCTGCGCCACAAAATCGCTGCCACGGATCTCCTCCAAGCTGCCAAAGCGCGGCCGCGCCACCCCCCTCTGCACCTCCTCTAGCCGCTTGCGCCTGCACCAAGGGACTAAGGCCGTCTGCAGCTCGGTCAGGAGGTTGAATCCACCGCCAGCACCCCCCTCTCACCACCAGCCACACATACCAACATGCAGCCACGCACCACGCCAAGTGACGCCACACCTACCGGTACTCTGCCATGAAGCGGTCATCCACAAATTCATCCTCCAGCTCCTCCAACTCCTCTGCCGACTTGCCCTCCACCCACGTGGCGTCCTTGCGCTCCTCCTCCTCGGGCTGGTACGCCTCCGGCTTCCACCCAGGCTCCTGCACCAGGGGTGCCGGGAGCGGCGGCGGCAGACGTGGGCGGGGCGGAAGCGGCGGCGGGTCAGCGCCGGCCGATCAACTCCGGCCGCACCCCGGCGATCCTCCCAGCCCTCCAGCAAGTGCGTGAGGCTGTCCTGAGCCCGCCATGGCTCCATGTGAGGTGTACCTTGGCAGGCAGGTTGCCCATCTTGCGCTGTATGTCGTCCCATTTTGTCGTGTCGTCAGGATCGCCCTTGTACACGGTGTGGTAGTCAGTCATGGAGGCTGCAGGCTTTGGCGCGGGTGCCGGTAGCGGCGGGCGTCGTTTACGGGCTGCTGGGGTGCTGCTGCAAGCTGCTGCGAGTATTTGCAAAGGTTTAGGATGCGGCCAACAGCCCAACAAGCCCAAAATCCTGTACATGACGTGGCCTAAAATCGAAAGCCGACCTTCAATCGAGCTCCTGCAACACCCACCCACCCACCCACAGGTTACAGGGGTGGTGGCGATCGGTTGGTCAGCGTCCCGTGCGCCCTGGTGACCGGGGATCGCATGTCGATTTGAGTTGGCAGCGCTGCGCCATGGCCCCCAAAAAGAGCAGCGAGCCCCTTGCAGGGCAGCGCTCCATCTCCGCATTCTTTGCCGCCAAGCCCAAGCCCGCCCAGGTGCGGAAGGTCGGCCTTGCCCCGCACTGGGTTGCTCCTGCCCTGCTGCCTGTGGGCTGCCAGACAAGCGCCGGGCCGATGCAACCTGCCAGCCGCCCGCGCCGCTGCAGGCCGATGCTGCCGCCGCCTCGCCCGCCAAGCTGCTGAAGCCGGCGGCAAAGGCAGATGTGAAGGCGGCCAAGGACAGCACCGCCCTGGCGGCTGCTGCAGCCGCAGCGCCCACGCAGGGTGCCGCGCCGCCTGCGGCTGCGAAGAGCAGCCAGCAGGCCGCGGCTGCGCCAGCAGCTGCCGCCGCAGCGGTGCCGCCGCGCAAGGCGGGCAAGGGCAAGCCGGCCGGCAAGAACGAGAAGAGCAAGGGCAAGGCCGGGGAGGCGGCGGTGGCCGGCAGCGGCGCCGCAGCCATTGGCCCGGACGTGGTGGGCAAGTCGGTGCGCGTGTACTGGCCCAGCGAGGGCACCTGGTTCACAGGCGACATCCAAGGCACGTGTGCGCAGGCTGGCTGCCTGGCGCCGCCCGCCGCCTGCCAGCCCGCGTTGGCACGCCTGGGCTGCCCATGGGCTGCACAGCGCTCCAGCGCCAGCCCTGCGCCCAGCCCTGCGCCGAGGCGGGGCAGCAGGCCTGGAGCGGCGCCAGCGGGAGGCAGGGCCGGCGCTGTGCTCGCCCAAGTGCCTGCCCAGCCTCGCCGCCGCCCCACCGCCCCTTGGCCCTCTCGCCCCCGGGGCCTTTCACCCCCCTCGCTGCCTGCCTGCCTGCCTTCCTGCAGAGTACAACGGTGCCAGCGGCAAGTGCCTGGTGCTGTATGATGATGGGGATGAGGAGTGGGTGGACCTGCGGGCAGAGAAGTTTGCCTGGGCAGACCGCCAGCAGGACAAGGCGCGGCAGGCGGCGGGTGCGCGGGCTGGGGGGCGGGGACGCTGCCGCCTATGCTGTGCGGCGCGCTGGGGGTTGGGCTGGCTGCCGGCGTTGCTGCCTGCCTGGGCACACGGGCCGGTGGTGGCGAGTGGCGGGCTGGCTGGCGCCGCCGCGCAGCTGCGCGACCGCCGCTGCCGCGCCTCCGCCGCCGCCGCGTGCAGGCCGCAAGCGCAAGGCGGCGATTGTGGAGAGCGAGAGCGAGGCGGAGGCGGGGGAGGCGTCTGGCAGCGAGTATGCGGCCAGCGAGGATGCGGAGAGCAGCGACGAGGAGGCTGCCTCGCTGGCGGATGAAGAGGAGGATGAGGATGAGGAGGATGAGGAGATGGAGGAGGAAGAGCTGTCGGTTGAGAGTGGGCCGCCCAAGGTGGGTGGGCGGCAGCAGCAGGCGGGGAGCTCGCCACTGCTGCAGGCTGGCTGGATCGCGGGGTGCCCGTGTCCCGGTGGCGGCCGCAGCGGGGTATGGGGCAAGAGCCAGCGAGGCAGCCGTGAGCCCTCCCATGAGGCGCCACGCTGCCGCTGCTTGGCCGCGCGTGCAGGGCAAGCGCGCGGCGGCGGCATCCGGCGGCGGCGGCGTCAAGAAGGCCGCCGCACCCAGGGGCGGCGGCAAGGCGGGGGCGACCCCCGTGGCCGTCAACGGCAGCGTGGGCCTGACCCCGGGCTCCGCCGCCGCCGCGGGCCTGCCGGCAGCAGCGGGCACCGCGGGCCGCACCGCGGCGCGCCCCGCGCGGCCGTCCTTGCCGGCACTCACGCCCGGCACCGGCGCCACGCCCGCCTCGCTGGCGCGCGCCCTGGGCGGCACCCCCCTGACCGGCGGCGCAGGTGCCGGGCTGCCGCCGGCTCGCCAGCGCAGGCGCTGCCTCTGGCTGCCTGGATGCTGCAGAGGCGGCGTGTGGCTTGCCCGCCACCCGCACACACCCGCCCCGCCCCGCCCTGCGCGCCACCCGGCCCTGCAGGCGAGGGCGATGCGCCGGCCAGCGCGCTTCAAGAGGAGCTGGCGCCTCGGTTCAGCGGCCGCGTAGACGCCGCCTTCCCCTTCCTGCACCCAGACCGCATCCGGGATGCCGCCCGGCGGCGGCCAGACGACCTAGAGTGAGCGAGCGAGCACGGAGGGGGTGGGGGGAGAAGGGCGCCCCGCTGAGCGCCCTGCCAGCCGGGCCCGCCCGCTGCGCTGCCAGCCGCCTGCAGGAACCCCGGCGGCTGCCCTCCTTTCCAGCCATGCCCTGCACCCACACTCGTGCGTTGCCCCCGCGTGCAGCTACGACCCCCGCACCCTGTATGTGCCTCCCGAGTGGCTCAGGCAGAACAAGGTGTCCCCGGGGCAGCAGCAGGTGGGCGGCGCTGTGCAGGGGGGTGCCGGCTGGCAGCTGCGCCGGCGTCGCTGCCTCTCCAACCCCCGCGCTCCCTTCCCGACACCGTCCCCGCCCGCCCACCCAACCTGCGCGCCACCGCGCCGCGCCTCCCGCCCGGCCCTGCCTGCCCCTCCCGCCCCCGCTGCTCCAGTGGTGGGAGTTCAAGGCTCAGCACTACGACTGCGTACTGCTGTTCAAGATGGGCAAGTTCTACGAGCTGTTTGAGATGGATGCGCATGTGGCGGTGGAGGTGCTGGGGCTCAGCTACATGAAGGTGGGGCGGGGGTGGGAGAGGTGCAGGGAGGGGTGGAGGGAGGGAGGGAGGGAGGGAGGGGGCAGGAGGCGCAGCGGCAGACCGTCTGCTGGCAGGGAGGGGCGGGTGAAGGGTATGGGTGGCTGGCAGGCGGGGTGGCGGGAGGGCCAGGGCTCCCTGGCGGAGCGAGCCGGACCACGGGCGGCAGCGCTGCCGCCGCGCCTGGCGGGGCGTGTGACAATGACGGGCGGGGGAGCGCTGGTGGTGCGCGGGTGCAGGGCGACAAGCCGCATGCGGGCTTCCCGGAGGCCGCCTATCACGGCATGGCGGAGCGGCTGGCGCGGGCGGGGCACAAGGTGGGGCCGGTGGCCGTGGGAGGGGCTGCGCCTGCGGGCCCGGCCCGTCGGCTGCCCTGCACATGCAGACTGCTGCTGCGCCTGCGTTCCCAGGGCCGTCGCTTGCTCTCATCCTGCTGCCATGTGCCGCCCCTTCCCCTCCTGCTTGTGCTGTCATGCAGGTGGTGGTGATTGAGCAGGTAGAAACCCCCGAGATGCTCAAGGCCCGCAACGAGGAGCGGGCGCGCAAGGGGCTCAAGCGGGTGAGCCGCGGGTTGCAGTCGAGGCAGGGGAGCAGCGGGCCGCATTGGCCCCCCCGCCTGCTGGTGTCCCCTCTGCCTGCTGGTGCTGCCTTCGCTCCCATTGCCATGCAATCGACGCCTCGCCCCGCCTCTTCCTGTCCCTGGTCCGCCTCTGCCTACCGCCTACCGCCTACCCCCTCCGCTGCCGAGCAGGATGCCGTGGTGCGGCGGGAGAAGGTGGCGGTGCTGACGCAGGGCACCCTGACCGATGCCGAGATGGTGGCGGCGCAGCCGGAGGCGGCCTACCTGCTGGCGCTGGCGGAGCTGCCGGTGCCGGGTGAGCTGGCGCCAGGTGGCGCAAGGTGGCGGGCCGGCTGGCACCGACCGCGGCCGGCTGGGCACGGGCAGGCGGCAGCTGGCCGCAATCTGCCAGCCCCCCGCCTGCCGTGTGCCTGTCCGCAGCGCAGGCAACGCCAGCCAGCCGCCTGCCCGCCCGCCGTGCCCGCCCCGCAGACGCGCTCATGGCCGCCGCCGAGCACAGCGGCGCGCCTCCCTGCGTGTGGGTGGGCGCCTGCGCCGTGGACGCCGCCACGGGACAGATGCTGGTGGGGCAGTGGCTGGACGACGAGCTGCGGTCGCAGGTGAGTGAGTGTGTGTGTGTGTGCGTGCGTGTGTGTGTGAGTGTGTGTGTGTGTGTGGTACTGGCTGGTGACGGGTGCCCGCCCTGTCTGCCAGCGTCAAATGCGTCTTGCAAGCCCAATTCCAGTTTGTCCCACTCTGCCCCCCACGCTCACGCATCCTCTCTCTTTCCTTCGCCCACCCCCACCC